CTCATACATAGAAGAGAACATTGCTGGCCTAGAAAAATCCACCACAAAGACTGAGAAAACTGCCCCCCAAAAATGAGAATAATATATGACAAATACTAGATACCATCAAATGTCCAAACATCCACATGATTGGCATCCCAGAAGGCGAAGAGACTTATAAGGGCATTGATAATCTAGTCCATGAAATTCTGCAAGAAAATTTTCCAAACCTAGAAGCACTCAACGATCCAGACCCCAGAAATACAAAGGACCCCAAATAGAATCAACCCCCAAAAAACTTTGAAACATAGCCAGATTGACCAAAACTACAGACAAAGACACGATACTAAGATTGGCAAGAGAAAAACGACAAGTTACCTACAAAGGATATCCCATCAGGCTAACAGTGGACCTCTCATTGGAAACAATGCAAGCAAGAAAAGAATGGGAAAATATATTCAAAGTGTAAGGGAAAAGCAATTTCAACCAAGAATACTATACCCAGCAAGATTACCCTTCACATGGGAAAAAAAGACAGGAACATTCTCAGATAAATCCTGAAAGAATTTACCAACACCAGACCAGATCTCCAAGAAGTTCTCAAGGGAGTGCTATACCAGGAAAATTAAATACAGACAAACAGAAATAAGAGTCCAAAAACCAAAAAAAATGGCCTACTTAATCATAGGGACAAGTCTGGAGTTGAATATTATATCCCAGAATTTAATCAGGAAGATCAAACCACAACAGAAGATAGATTAAGTACATGAGACTAAACTAGTGAAATAGCATTTTATGTCTTTTGACTAAAACATTGCTGATTTCCTTCTAGGCTTTGTTTTCCAGTTTTAAGGACTTTTGTCCTGTCTTGAGCTGTCAATAGATTCATGTACCTACTATTTGAACAGAATCCTAACTTGTTTCCTGGCTTTAAGTTTTAAGAAAAGTTCTTTAGCATTTCTTTGATTTATTTAAGTTAAAACTGCTTTTCTTAAAATTACCAGCTGAATTCTCTATTAAAAGTAATTAGGTAATATAATAAATTGTGTGATCAATAAAATGTGGGGGGAAAGGGAATGGAAAACAACTGTAGACACCAGAGATAGTGTGGAAGGAGGGTGGGGAAGGGCAGAAGGTCAGAAATAGGGGTTAAATATATATATGAACCTAGAAATGGAAAATTATTGACAATATCATGCATAATTAAGCCACTATGCAGTATATTCTGGATGGGAAATTCTGTTTTTGTTTTTTCTTTCTTTTCTTGGGGTTTTTGCTATAGGGTATGTGTGCTCGCCAGACAGAGAGAGACAGAGAGACAGAAAGCGAGAAATCACCCCCCAGGGGGGGATGGCCACGCTGCAATCCCTTTCCCCATATTCTCCTCTCGGGATCTTGGGCACACACGCACACACGCCCGGCGTGAGTTTAAGCCACCAGGTCTGGGACTCAAACAGCGGTTGACTACGTGGGAGTCCAGCGACATAGCCATTACGCTAACTGCTGGTCCCGGAAATTCTGTTTTGTATACTGTGATGATGCTTAGCCATTACACTAACTGCTGGTCCCAGAAATTCCGTTTTGTATACTGTGACGATGCTTAGAGAATGAATGCAAATTAATTAATTTAAAACAATATTTCAGGGGAAAAAAAAGCTCATGGAAATAGGTGTAATGAGAAAACTATGTATGAATTTCAAGAAGTTTTTGTACCAAACTAAATCAACACTGTAATTGTAATAGAAAGAAAGAAAGAAAGAAGACATATGAACAGTCAAAGAGTATATGAAAAACAACAATGAGATGCTCAACATCTCTTATTATAAGGGAAATGCACAAGTAGCTTACAAAAAAAATAAAATAAATGATTCAATTAAAAGATGGTAAAATGAGCTGAAGAGACAATTCTCCAAAGAAGACATATAAACAGCCAAAGAATATCTGAAAAAAAAGTCCACATCTATTATTATTATAAGGAAAATTCAAATCAAAACTACAATGAGATACCACTTAACCCCAGTCAGAATGGACCCCTAAAGCACAGTCAATAATCCCCAAAATAGACAAGTGGGATTACATCAGACTAAAGTTTCTGCATAGCAAAAGACACAGTAATTTGCATGAATCAACAGCCCTCAGAATGGGAAAATATTTTTGTAAATTATGCATCAGATACGAGATTGATAGGCAGAATACACAAGGAACTCAAGTAGCTGTCTGGAAAAAAGATGATCAATCCTATTAAAAGATGGGAGAATGAGTTGAAAAAGACATTCTCTAAAGATGACATACGAATAGCCAAAAGGCATATGAAAAAATGCTCAACATCCCTCATTGTAAGGGAAATGCAGATCAAAACAACAATGAGATACCACCTAACCCCAGTCAGAATATCTAAGATTATAAAAACAAAAAATGGTAAGTGTTGGCAGGGAGTGTGGTGAAAAGGGAACTCTCTTACACTACTGGTGGGAATGTAAATCAGTCCAGCCACTGTGGAGAACAATTTGGAGATTCCTCAAATATCTACAAATAGAACTACCATATATGATCCAGCAATCCCACTCCTTAGTATCTACCCAAAGGACATAAGAATTCTTCATCAGAAAAGTGCTTGCACATTGATGTTTATTGCCACACTATTCACAATTGCTAAGACATGGACCCAACCCAAATGCCCCCGAACAGATGAATGGATTGAAAAACCATGGCACATATACTCTATGGAATACTATTCAGCCATAAAAAAAAAAACCTGGCTTTTGACAGAAAGTGGAAGAATATGGAAGATTTACTGCTGAGTGAAGCAAGTCAGGCAATGAAGAAGAGATGCTGTATGTCCCCACTTAATATATACCAAATGTCCACACTCTATGACAGAAACTGATTGACTAAAGGATATACAAAGACAATAAATGGGTGTAAATACCAGATACAGTGTGTGTGTAAGAGTAGGGCCTGAGGAAGGACATTTAGAAGGAAAATACAGAGGCAAAGCATTAATGAGACAAAGAAATGTGGTATTATCTGTTGAAGATATTTTAATCAATGGGACTAGGGAGAAATGTTCACATATCGAAATATTCACTTTGTAAGCTAAATAATGTGACTGAATGTATAAAAAAAGGAAATAAAAAAGGAAGTATACTTAAGAACAAGCTAAAAAAAATTAAAAATTAAAAATAAAAGAATCATACATGCTAGAGAGGCTGCAATGAAAAGGGAACTCTTTTATGCTACTGGTGAGAGAGAATGTAAGTTAGTACAGTCACAGTGGAGGACAATATGGAGGTTCGTCAGAAACCTACAAATAGAACTTGCATATAATCAAGCAATTCTACTTCTGGGTATCTACCCAAAGGAAGGAAACCCCTCAGTCATAAAAATACTTACATATCCATGTTTATTTCAGGATTATTCACAATTGCTAAGACATGGAATCAACCCAAATGTCCAAGAGCAAATGAATGGATTGAAAAAATGGGCACATATTTGCTACAGAATATGACTCTGTTATTAAAAAAAAAAAAAAAGTGAGAACCTGATAAATGATACAAAGTGGACAAATATGGAAGATTTACTGCTAAACAAAACAAGCCAGATCATTCAGCCATAAGAATACCATTCAGTCATAAGGAGGGACCAGCAGTTAGCATAATGGCCGTGTCACTGGACTCCCATGTAGTCGACCGTGGTTCACGTCCTGGACCCGGTGGCTTAAAACTCACGCCAGGTGCGTGTGCATGCATGTCCAAGATCCTGAAGATCCCAAGAGGAGAATGGAGGAGAAGGGACTGCAGTGTGGCTATCCCCCCTGGGAAGTTATTTCTCACTTTCTGTTTCTGTCTCTCTGGCAATCACACGTGCCCTATGGCAAAAACCTCTCAAAAAATAAATAAATAAATAAATAATACCATTCAGTCATAAGGAATAATGTGGCTTTGTCACTAATTAAAAGAGGATGAATATAGAAGACTTAATGTTAAGTGAAATGAGCCAGACTTCAAAAGGCATACAGTCAATATGAACAGAATGTCTGGACTCTGACAGAAATTGATATATTTGATGATATGATAAGTTGAGGGGATAAATGCAGATACCAGATACTTTAAGGAGGGGAGTGGTTAAAAGAGGGTGGGTGGGATAGGCAAAGAAAAGAAACATTTAACAGACAAAAGAATATGATGTTCTATATTTTTTAAAAATTTCTGTAATTTTTGCTTTATAAGAAAACAAAAATGAAAAAGAAAGTGGCTAGTACTCAAAAATTATTTGTTGCGTCAAAGAAAAGTGCATGAAAGAATGTCTGACAACAAATAGAATACAGGACAATGGAGTAAGGCAGGCAACTGAAATTGCTTTGAGAAACAGAGTAATCAAGACAATAATAAAGATGAGACAGGCAAAGACTGGACTAGTAGCAACTGTAATAATCATAAATATTCAAAAACAGAATCAAAATGGAAAAGGTTTTTTTGTGAGAATGGTTTCTGGAGGTTTGATTTAGGAATCAGCATCCTCAGTCACTTCCAAAAGTTAGGACTTCTAAAGAGTTTGCTATAGTTTAGATGCTACCCTCGCCCCAATTCATATGTTAAGACTTGACTCTATTATTGTAAAGGTATTTAGAGAAAACTTAATCACTTCATGGCGTCTCATAGTAAGCCCTTGATAAGACCTTATATTAAGGTGACGCCCTTATGATTGAGTGCTGGTGGGGTCATAAGCAAAGCGAAGGAGATCAGAACAAGAGAGAGAAACAGACCACACAGCTCCGCTAAAGGCTTTGCCTTCCACCAGTGATACCTCTGAACTTTCCTGTCACCAGAATCATGAGTTCTGCAAATAAGCTTCCATTTTCTTCATAAATCACCTAGCCTCAGGTATTTCCACTACCAATGTGAAAACAGACTAAGATAGATATATTCATGAAAAATGTTTCAAAGTTGTCAACCCCTGAATTAACTACAGGAAAATTAAAAATTCCCTGATGTTCATATGTACAGTATACATTAACTCACCTGGAAAGTTCTGACTTGGGAATTCTTCTTCCAGTATCCATGGCTCCTCTCCTTGCTCCAGCCTGAAGATCACTTCGGGTTTGGTAACACAAAACCCTGTTAACAGGAAATATTTTAGGACTTGGACCAAGAAGACTAAACTTCACAGCCTAGAAGGGGGAAGCCTCTGGAGCTGTTTAATAAAGAAGCCACGGAAACATGTTACTAGAGAGGTAAATATAAGTATCTCCTAGTGCCCAAGTGATCAAGGCACTGATTCCTAAAATCCAATCTTTAATTTCATTCAGCTATACAAAGTGTCCTTATACTTCATCATTTAAAGAATAATCAAATGCTATTTAAAATTATACAGTAAAACAGGCCTTACCCACTGAAACAAGGTGGCTGTAGTTCTCCAGCATCACATCTCTATACAGGGACCTCTGACAAGGGTCTAGCTGCTGCCACTCATCCTGGGTAAAGCCCACAGTCACATCTTTAAATGATACTGACCCATGGAATTTCTGTTTAATCTAAAATATTTAGAATAAGGTTACATGGAAAAAGACATATGAAACTAATCCTTACCATGATTACTTACAGACTACTAAAACAGATTACAGAGTATTTATTCTGCTTTAGGGGGAAAGAGAAACCCTAACAGAAATAGCCTACATTGTGTTAAAGTATTAATTTATGCAAAAAAAAAGATCAGGTCTCCACAATGTACCTGGAACTATTATAGTTATTAGAAATACTATAACTAAAAACACTCTTATGGACGAGGAGTATATAACCTAGAGTACAATATATGGAGTAACATGTTACAAGTGTTAGGGTAAAAGCACACAAAGACGGTCTAACATTTTACATAAATAAAGAATAAACTCAGTTCCATTTTAAGCTTCATTGAGGAAGTACAGCTGTTGAATGAAGAGCAGTGTAAGTACAGAGTCATAGCACAATAAAGGTGGGGCTCTCGCACACCAAGGAAATCAGCCCAAGAGCAAACCGCAAAGAAATAGGAATAGGCACTGTCATGAGATAAAGTGCCATGGAAATACTCAGGTAATGGGTAACAGTAATTTCAGACCAGTAGTTTCCAAAATAACTGATTATTTACCATCTTCAAAAATACTGTTGAGTACTACAAATTTAAATTTATAAATTATAGAAATAAATTATCAGTATACTGATGAATTTTCTCAGATTTAATGTGGACAAAAAGCCTAATGATACTGCATTTCCTGCAATATGTACCTTAGGTGCCAACCCTTCCATTCAAAGATAATAATAACAATGTGTAGAAAATGGAAAGATTTAAGAACAAGTGTACTTGAAATGCCCATAGGGTACACAAAAGAAACCAAATTGGATTGTTTTAGAGATATCCTATGGTGTAGGGCTCCATTTTAGGGATCACTGATATGGGAAAAAGAGAACCAAAGGAAAAATATAAGCATATGAAATTATATGACCAAGACTTTTTAATAGAGCCAGTTCTTGAGAAAGGGAAGGAGCAGCTAAAGAGTAAAAAGTCATCATTTAAACTACTGTAATAGAAACTGGGATACAAAAAGGGCACTGATAACAGGAGATAGATAACAACAAAATACAGTCACCAGTTCACTGAACAGAAAGAAAATGTTTCCTTGGTTTATCCCACAGATGCATAGATACTAGAGTTACAAGGCAAATTAGGAAAACTAGAGCAAAATATAACAGGCATGATGTTTTAAAGATATGTATTAAACATACTAAATTTGAGTCACAATACTAGAGGTCTAGAATGCATATAAAGATTTGAGACACTGAAAATCTGGTAGTGTTCGTCAACAGTGAATTAGAAAGCTCTCAGAGCACTGAGGAAATCAATAATGGAATCTGTGGAAAAATCTTTTTTTTTTTTTGACTGGTTTGCAAAGAAGGAATAGGCCATGAAGACCCTGAAGGAATTTTCTGAAAGGTAGAAATAAAACAATGAATGGTATTAAAAACAAGAGACTATTGAGCGACTGAGGAGGCAGTGCAGCAGGCAGCAGTCCGAGTATAGCACTTGCACTGCTGCCAGAGAAGTGCCTGCCTCCACCACACGGAACGAAACGTCGGACATGCGGATTTAGGATAGGAATTCACTTGAAAAACCACTCTGGTGGTGTGAACATAATTTCTGATGAAACTGGACTGGAATAATTTTCATGATCTTTGAATATATGTATGTGTATATATATGTATACATATGTGTGTATGTATGTATATAATTTAAAAGAAGTGTGTGTATATGTATATGTGTATATGTAAATTATGCATTTGACTTAAAGTGCTATGAGAAAATTTACATATTGCAAAGTGGTCCTAGCCACCTCTCTGATTTATTAAGTATGTTCCAACTACTTTACTTCAGTGAATGTTACAAACGTGACAAATAGAAGGAGGACTTCCTTCTGGAAATGTTCTAGAGGTAGTACAAAAGTCTCATGAAGGGGGACCAGCAGTTAGCGTAATGGCCATGTCGCTGGACTCCCACGTAGTCAACCACGGTTCGTGTCCCGGACCCGGTGGCTTAAAACTCATGCCAGGCGCATGTGTGTGCGTGCCCAAGATCCTGAGAGGAGAATGGAGGAGAAGGGACTGCAGCGTGACCATCCCCCCTGGGGGGTGATTTCTCGCTTTCTGTCTCTACGTCTCTGCCTGTCTGGCGAGCACACGTGCCCTACAGTGAAAACCTCTCCAAAAAAAAAAAAAAAGTCTCATGAAGGTCCTGGAGAAACAGGGAAACCAGTTATCATTTCCAAGGAAGATTAAGAAAATATGAAAGAGATGTTTAAAATCAATTAATTCGGGGGCCAGTTGGTGGTCCGGTGGTTGGGGTGCTGGATTCCCACATGGCTGACTGTGGTTTGAGTCCTGGACCTGGCGGCTTGCTTTCTCACTTTTCCTCTCTCTGTTGAGTGTGTATGCTCTGTAGCAAATTGAAAAATAATAATAATGATAAATAAAATTAAATAAAAATTCTTTTTAAAAAATCAATTCTATTTAATGGCAAGTGAGATGACAGCATTCAATAGATCTTGACCAGATGTTAGGTTAGAGGGGTATAAACAAAAGGTGTATCCAGACAATCTTCCTACAATAAGTATGGTGACTGTATTTTCCAATAAGGCTTCAAGCACATTTCTGTGAACTGCCCATAATGTCATTACTCACTCACCAAAATACATGATAGAAGAAATTGTTCTAGCGGATTATGCCAGTGAAAGAGACTTTTTGAAAAGACTGCTAGAGAGTTAGGTGAAAAAACTAAAAGTACTAGTTCATGTAATTCAAATAGAACAACATATTGGATTGATAAGAACTCTATTAAAAGGAGCTGCTGTGTCTAACGGCCAAGTGATCACCTTCTTGGATGCTTGCCATTAATGTTCAGTGAGGTGGCTAGAGCACTGTTAGCCAGGATCAAACATGACAGGAAAACACCAGTATGACATGATCAGTGATGATACTTTTCAGTACATCACAGGCTCTGATTATGACTGATGGTGGAGTCAACTGGAAGGTGAATTTTCACTGGTATCCTGTTCTCCAGCAATAACTGGACAGAAGGAGATTAGACTCTTCCCGTCAGAACACCTATAACAGTAGGAGGCCTTTTTTCAATAGACAGAGATTATCTTCAGGAAACTGGAACATACGATGCTAGAGTAGGTATTTGGGGAGGAGAAAACCTAGAAATTTCTTTTAGAATTTGGCAGTGTGAGGAACCTGGGAAATTGTTATGTGCTCACATGTTGGACATGCATTTCAGAAAGTGACACTTTACACGTTTCCAGAAGGCACAGAACAGATTATCAGTAAAAATTAAAGACAATTTGCAGAAGTATGGGAAGATGAATTCAAGAATTTCTTCTATTTAATTTTCCCAGGTGTTACAATGGTAGATCATGGGGATATATCATCAAGACTCAGTCTTAGACACAAACAACAATGCAAATCTTTTTCTTGGTTTCCAGAAAATATTTATCTTAATTCTCAAATTCCATGTCACTATTTCTCACTGGGAGAGAAATTAAACATGGAAACAAATCAGTGTCTACATAATAGGGTTAGAAAAGAGAGGGACCAGCAGTTGGCAAAATGGCTATGTCGCTGGACTCCCATGTAGTCGACTGTGGTTCGAGTCCTGGACCCAACGGCTTAAACTCATGCCGGGCTTGAGTGCACACGTGCCCAAGATCCTGAGAGGAGAATGGAGGAGAAGGGATTGTGGTGTGGCTAGCCCCCCTGGGGGATGATTTCTCAATTTCTGTCTCTCTCTGTCTTTCTGACAAGCGCACATGCCCTATAGCAAAAATCCCTCCAAAAAATAAAAGAAAAGAAAAGAGAATGAGAATGAGAAAGTTGGCATTCTTCATTGTCATGTTATGGGAGGTAATAGGTTTTCTCTTACACTGCCAATAAAGAAATTAGAATAGATGATCTTTCTTTGGGTGTTTCTAAACCAAATGGCCCAGTCTCAATGCTCAAATGCCATCACCTAAAAGGCAACCAGTTTTAGGAGTATGACCCAGTGAAATTAACCCTGCGGCATGTGAACGGTAATCAGTGCCTGGATAAAGGCACAGAATAGGATAGCCAGGTGCACAACATTAGAGACTGCAATAGAAACCAGTCCTAGTAGTAGCTGCTTTAAAATGTAACCCTTCCAGAAATTGAGACCAAATTTATAAGGAAAAAAAAAATAACAAAAAAAGAAGAAAATACAGATTGACTGGGCTACCTCGGCATGTGGTTTTGCTGCATTGTTATTTTTTTTTTAGGGGTTTCGCTACAGGGCGTGTGCGCTCACCAGACAGACAGAGACAGACAGAGAGACAGAAAGCGAGAAATCACCCCCCCCCAGGGGGGATGGCCACGCCACAATCCCTTCTCCTCCATTCTCCTCTCGGGATCTTGGGCACACACGCACACGTGCCAGGCGTGAGTTTTAAGCCACCGGGTCCGGGACGCGAACCACAGTCGACTACGTGGGAGTCCAGCGACACAGCCATTACACTAACTGCTGCATTATTATTTTTTTTTTTAGAGAAAGATTTTTACCATAGGGCGCATGCGCTCACCAAAGAGACAGAAAGTGAGGAATCCCCTCCGTCCCCTAGTGGGCAGGTGTAACCATGCTGCAATCCTTTCTCCTTCATTCTCATCCTGGGCACACAAGCGCCCAGCCTGAGTTTCAAGCCTCCGGGTCCAGGACTCAAATGGCAGTTGGCCATGTGCGAGTCCAGCAACACAACCATTATGCCATCTGGTTCCCCTTTGCTGCAGTTTTAAGCAGGATGGAAGGCTTATTCTGCAGTTTTAAGTAGGATGGAAGGCTTATTAGTCATTAAAACTTAGATTCCTCTAGTTTTTTGCTAACCTCCCTGTCCAAGGATGTGAAACTGCATAGTAGAAAGACTCTGCACACTGATGTTTCTAAGACTGAAAGTCTAACATCAAGAATGATGAGAAAGAATATGCAGACAGTGAAACAATC